CCTGGGGAGGAGGTGAATGAATTCTTGCTCTATTAGTTCCTGCCAGAGCTGGTTGTCAAAGCAACTGGACACCGACCCTGCCTGCCTTATCTCCTGCCATGTGCCCTCTGCAACACCAGCCCCCTTTTCCCTCCTCCAGGAGTGGAAGCAGCCTGAGGCCCTCCACAAATGACCAGTCTTGAACTTTTCCAGACATCAGAATCATGAGCCAAATAAACCTCTTTTTCTTTGTAAATGGCCGTTGGTATTTAACCTTCTGGTATTCCTTATGGCTACACAAAGTGGACTAAGACACTTGGTAAAGCACTGCAGGGAAGACAATTCAGGACCAGCGCCATGGGTGTAGGCTCTAGTGTAACAGGATAGGAGACAGAGGTTGGGCTCAATTCCAATTACAGCCCAGGCAAGTAGGTATTTATAGCCAAGGAGCAGGGCAAGGGTCAATGGGTAGAAAATTATGAATACTAAAGAGGAAACCTCAGGAGTCAGGGGGATTCTAGGCTGTACTGACCAAACAGGATTCTTGCTAAAGACAGGCCAGGGTGCCCAGACAGCTGCGGGTGGTGGAGGCTGAGGCACCTGATCATCTTCCAGGGCTGAGTATGGCTAGACTGACCTAGCAGGCTTCTTTCTAAGACCGAGTTTTATAAAGTGCAAGGCTGGGCCTAGGGGAAGGTTCAGGAGCCTGAGTAAAATGTGGGCAAGCAGAGAATCTTTGTCAGCTAAGAAACAGGTTCTCTTTGCTGCATGCAAACGTGAGTGTGTGTGCTTCCAACCTCCCCTCGGGGTCAGTACATCTGGTGATGCCCTAAACTCCATAAACAGTTCTGTCCCATTGGAAATCTTAATGCAATCTCAAGGGAGAAAAGACTCACTTGCCTCCATCCCACAGCACAGCTCGTCCAGGTTTTCTCAAACTGTGGTCCCCAACACTGAAGAGGGCAGAGGGGCTTGGGGAAGGCTTCCTAAGAAGGTGACACCTGACCAAGTTATTCTTAGAACTTATGACCAGTTATCTATGAAGGTGACGGAAGCCGTAGAAAGATAATGCCACATGTTTGAAGGCACAGAGTAAGCCGGACAATGACGGGCGTGCAGGGCTGAGCAGACAGAGCACCTGGGAGACAGCAATGCTGTGTTAAGTAGTTTGTACTGAAAGTGACAGAAATCACTCAAGAAGCGGGAGTGATTGCCTCCTCTCTTGGAATGATAGTTCCAACTGCTAAGTAAAAGACGCATCAGAGGCAGCAAGACTGGAGGTGGGGAGACAAGTTAGAAAGAGGGTTGGGGTGAAAGATGACAGATCTTGGACCAAGGCAGTGGCTGTAGGCTGGGGAAATGCTTTAAAAGTAGAACCAGTGAGAAGTAGTAGTATTAGCAACACAGGCTTTAAAGTCAGGCAGATCTAATGTGGGCCTTGGCTCTGCCCGTTACTATCTGGGTCACCTTGGGCAGTCCTGTAAGCTCTCTAAGATTCAGTTTCTTCACCTGGGAAATCAGGACAATAACAAAGCCTGCCTCACAGCTGTTGGTTGACATGGCATAACATACACAAATGGCATAGCCCAAGACTGAGCACATAGGGAACATGCAGTGAATTAGAGCTCCCATTCTTGGTATCGTTAACTAGACTTGGTATTGTTAACCAACCAGATGCAGGTTAACCAGAGAGCACCCAAGAGTCCAGGTTTCCTGCCTGCTGTTACTAACAGAAACCAGAGGCAAAAGTAGGTAGTTGGAGCGGTACCCATAGCTCAGTGGGTAGGGTGCCAGCCACATATACCCAGGCTGGCAGGTTCTAACCTGGCCCGGGCCAGCTGAACAGCAATACCAACTGCAACAAAAAAAATGTGGGCTTTGTGGCAGGTGCCTGTAGTCCAAGCTACTTGGGAGGCTGAGGCAAGAAAATCGCTTAAGCTCAAGAGTTTGAGGTTGCTGTGAGCTAAGACACCACGGCACTCTACCCAGGGTGACATAGTGAGGCTGGAGGAAGATACGTTCACTTATTGACAATGACACACCCACCCTCAGAAGAGGGTCCCTGGCTCAGCGCTTGTGGCTCAAGCAGCTAAAGCGCCAGCCACATACACCTAAGGTGGCGGGTTCGAATCCAGCCCCGACCTGCCAAACAACAATAATGGCTGCAACCAAAAAAAAAATAGCCGGCCGTTGTGGCGGGCGCCTGTGGTCCCAGCTACTTGGGAGGCTGAGGCAGGAGACTCGCTTGAGCCCAGGAGTTGGAGGTTGCTATGAGCAGTGAAGCCATGGCACTCTACCCAGGGGCTCAGCTTGAGGCTCTGTCTCAAAAAAAAAATAAATAAATAAAAAAGAAGAGGGTCCCTGTGGGTGCCAAGAATGTAAGACCCTGACTACTTTTTACTGGGGCCTCTGTTTGCAGTGAGCCACCTCACTGAGGAATGAGGTAACTCCCTCCAGGACGAGAAGCAGTCTTGCTAACTGCTTATATAAGCAGTAGATTCCCCCAGCTCAGTGCTCCTCAGCTGTGATGAAGCCAGCTGCATGTGGAGCACCCATCTGGGCCCACCACTTTACCCTGTGGGACTTGGAGGCAAGGGAAGCTGATGCAAATATGCTGATGCTCATGCTTCTTGCTGTGCCCTGAGTAATAAAGTCTTATGTTTCTGACCCCGAAGTCCCATGTCTTCTGCCAGCATCCATAAATTTATGGATTTTAATCTATTGGCTTATTAAAGTTAATTTATTAGCTTATAAGTTGGAAAGAGAAACTTGGAGTTATGGAAAAAACTTGAGCATGTGCAAATAAAGGATGGGAGTAAGAAAAGGATTCCCAGGGGAACTCAGGAAAGCACCTGAGAACTGGCCAGGCACATGTAGAAGACTGAAATTGGACCTGCACCTCTCACCACTGACAAAAATTGACTCTCTCTGGATAAAATATTTAAGACATGAAACGATAAAAATTCTAGAAGGACGTGTGGGGAAAACTCTTGACAAAATTGGCCTGAGAAAAGATTTTATGAAGACTCCTTTAGTGATTGCAGCAACACCAAAAATAAATAAATGGGATATGATCAAACTAAAAAGCTTCTGCACGTTTAAGATTACCACAACTAAAGCAAACAGACAACCTTCAGAATGGGAGAAGATATTTGCATGTTATAAACCTGACAAAGGGCTGATAACTAGAATCCACAGATAACTCAAATTAATCAACAAGAAAAGAGCAAATAAGCCCATTTATAAGCGGGGAAGAGACTTGAACAGAAAATCAGAAAATTCTCTGAAGAGGACAAACAGCCAACAAACACATGAAAAAAATACTATCGGGGCAGCACCTGTGGCTCAAGGAGTAAGGGTACCGGCTCCATATACCTACCAGAGGTGGCAGGTTCAAACCCGCCCCTGACAAAAAAAAAAAACTCACTATCCCTAATCATCAGAGCATTAGAGAAATGCAAATGAAAACCACTCTAAGATATCACCTAACTCGAATGAGGTTAGCCCACATCCCAAAGTCCTAAATCTGCAGATGCGGACGTGAATGTGCAGAGAAGGGAACACTTTTGCACACTGGTGGGACTGCAAACTAAGACAGCCTCTATGGAAAGAGGAGAATTCTCAAAAACTAAACGTCGACCTTCCATTTGATCCCGCAATCCCATTACCAGGTATCTACCCAGAAGAAAAAAATATCATTTTCCCACGAGGATATTTGCACTAGGATGTTTATTGCAGATCAATTCACAATTTCCAAGACATGGTTAAGTACCCATTAACCCATGAATGGATTAACAGACTGTGGTATGTGTATACTGTGGAGTATGGTTCAGCCATAAGAAAAGATGGAGATTTTAAAACTTTTGTGTTTACCTGGATGGAGTTGAAACTCATTCTTCTTAGCAAAGTATCACAAAAATGGGGGGGGATGTGTCCAATGCACTCATACTAATATGAAACCAATATATAAATAACTCCAAGCCCACAGGAAAGAAAAACACAAGTATAGTCTAGCAAGGAGGAGGAAAAGGGGGGAGGGCAATTGGTTGGATCTCACCTAATGTGCACAAGGTGAGGGTGTTCAGCATGCCCCTTGGTGAAGAGCTCAACTATAACTTCCACTTTACCTTAGAAATGAAAATAATACAACCTAAGCATTTGTACCCTCATATCAATCTGAAATTTAAAAGAAAAGAAAGAACCAAGAGGAAAGTAGTTCTCTACAGGCTGAGGGAGTAGAATTTCAATCAAAACAGAGTAAGCAACAGAATCAGATACTGCTTAAAAGTCGAGTAAGATGAAGACTGAAAGTAGCCACTGAATTTAGCAACTAGGTCACTGGCAAAAAGCATCTCAGTGATGAGGTGCAGCCAGAAGCCAAATGGAAGCAGATGAGGAGTGAATGGAAGTGAAGAAGGAGAGACTGTGAATATAAGATATTTCTAAAAACTTCAGCTGAAAAAGAAGGGGAGAGGTGGGGCACTGGTGACTAGGGCTGGTGGGGATAAATAAAACTTTTCTTTCCAAATAGAGACTTGACTAGATCGTATCTGAGGAAAACAAGCCAGAAAAGAGAAAAAAGTGGGGGAGGAATGAAGAGCAAGGGAAAGAGGATGGAATCAGGTCTCTAAGGAGAGGGCTGCCATTCAGACCTCACCTGAGTGAGGGACTGGCCTGGGCCCTCTCCCACTGAGAAGGCATTGGCCCCAACCACACACCCTCAAGCAGACCAACTGCTAGCTGGGTCAAGACCATTGTCCCCAGGGAGGGGCCTGGTCAGTGCTTTTCCTTGGTGGCCACGTTGCCTGGTGGTCCTGTAAGCCAGAGATGAGAGACACAGAAGTCTTTACCATCCTGGGTTCTCTGGAGATGCCAACAGGTGTGTTTTGCACACAGAAGGTTCTGGTAAGTTTGGAAAGTGCTGTCTAGCTGGGCAAAGCCAGGTTGCAGGAAGGCTAAGCGTTCTGTGCTGGCAGAGAAGGGCGTTTGGGAGTGGGGTGTCTAACCGGAAGAGAAAGGCTATGGGGGAGACACCAGGCCTTATCCTCAAGGTACTCAGGGATTACAGAGAAGACATGTATGGGCAGACCCTGTGGTCACGGAGTGGGAAAGGAGCTCTCATTGCAGGACACCTGTACTCTGCTTCCAGTTTATATATTGACAAAATTCTCAGCTTGACCGACATTTAATGGGGCTCCTGAACATTCTCCTAGGCCCAGCTGTGCACGTCCTTGTAACCCAGTCTTAGCAAAGACCCCGGCTGACTCATTTTAGCCTGAATTCTTTTCCCCGGACAGATGACGGCCCTGGATATCTGCCTGGGTTCCTCATCCTCTACTGTCCCAGCTGGTGTCTCGGTGGTCTGTCTCCAGGGGGAGTCCCATCAGAATCCTCCTTGCCTAGATGTTTCCTCTTGTGATTTTCCACCCACTGACCCCCACCCTGCTCCTTAGCTGTAAGTCCCCACCAGCTCCTGCGGTAGGTAGAGTGAGTCCAACTCTTTCCCACACAGCTACAGCGTCCCTACACCTGTAGCTGAGGTCCCAAGTGAAGTCTCCTTACTATGCTTTGACAGGAGTCACCAAATTATTTTTTCCTTAACAGTGTCTACCTCTTTTACTCTCCGAATTCTTGACATATCCCAACCTGACAGAGGAGGAACCCAGACTCAGCAGCTGGGGACATGGGTGACGCTCAGTGCTGAGCAAGTGGCGGAGCCCAGCTGTCAGGGATTTGGGATCCAGCGCTCCTACCCCTACAGCCCCCATGTCCTCACACCCTCAAGCACTACACAGGGCATGGGTCAGAGACAAGCTACACAACTGCCAACCCTGCCATAGCCCTGTGCTGAGACCAAGTGGCCTGTGGTCTATGACAAGGACTGTCCCCATGTGCCTTAGCCTTCTCTCCAGCAGGGCTCTGTTGGCCTTTCCAAGCACCATCAGATAGATTCAGGGGTCCTGTCCCTTACAGGCTAGGTCTGAAGGAGTGTGGAGCTCGGCCTACTTGCTTTGTTGTGCCAGGACTACCCCCAGGGACCCTTCTCCAGGGGTGTCAGTTAATTCCTCTTTTCAGTCCCGACCCTTTGACAGCCTTATAGAAGCAGGTGGCCCTCTCCCTAAAAGGACAAGCCCCCAACACACAAGCCTACACAATTTCCCGCTTCACGCACCAACCACCACTCGCCACCACTAGCGCCGGCAAGCAAACTCGTTCTCACAGGAGTGTGCATCGGGTCACCTGACTGCTGGCTAAAAATGCAGGTCCCAGGCCCACCACCAGGGAGATTCTCATTCAATAGGTCTGGGGCGAAGCCCAGGAGCCTGCGTTTTCATCCAGCGCCTCAGATGTTTGGGGCGCCGGCGCTGAGTGGGGCCCACTTTGAGAATCCCGATTCTAGGGCTGGGAGACGCCCCCCATTCTATGCTCCAAACTTTCCCCATCTCGCCGGGCGCGCCGGGTGCCTCCGGTCCCCTCCGGCCGGCCTCACTAGGCAGGCGGAATCATCTGGGGAACCCGGCAGGGACCGAGAGAGACGGCCCGGGGACCTGCCCGCCACCCCCGCCACCGCGCCATGGCCCCGGGAGGCGCAGCGCAGTGGCCGGCAGGGGGCGCGGCGCCCGGGAGGA